AAGATTTCACATTTCACATGCAACGGCGGAGCTTTGAGTCCATGCACGCGTTGATGATTGTGAATCGAAGTGTTGGAAGTGTCTGGCAGAGAGGCAAAGTATGTTAAAAAAAAGCACTGGTCTCTGTCGAGTGCAGCAAACAAGGCGTCTGATTATCGTACCCAGAGCAGAGTGTGTGGATAAAGCGAAACTGTGCGAGAAATGTTCGCTTTGTGCATCATTTTGTCGCTTGGGGATGCATTGCAAAATGTGCAGCCAAAGAGAGGTGATGATGACGTTCACTAAGATGATGATGATGAAGCTAGAGGTAACTGAGGCGAATGCTTGCCTTGTAACTGGGCAAAATTGCTAGCAGGATAAAGAACAAGGATACAAATCGATTGCCAGTTAGCTTCTGCAGCAGACAGTTGCCGAGCAGCCGAGTTGTCGGTGAGCTGGAATCGGTTTGCCGCCAGGCTTTATTGACAGTCGAATGCGTGTTGCTAGCAGCACATTGCGTATACGCAACGTGCAGCAGCTACCTATCGAACAGAGAATGCAGCAATATCTACGGCATCCACAGCATATTTGCATGCGGTCTACTCAGCTCTGCATATAACTAGATAAAAAAAATAGAGCTTAGACTACGATAAGTAACTGGCATCAATCTGCGCCAACAAAAGAGAGCGAGAAATCTCTTACTCTCTCTCTATATCATACTCTCTATTCCTATATATATATATATATATATATGCATGTATGCAGCAAAGGCATATCGCATGCACTAATTACGTACCCATTGAGGTCGCACGTCCAGCTAGCCAATCAAGTCTGTTTGCCCAGCTACAAAGGTAGATTTCAAGGCAACAGCAGGCAGCGGCTGCAGCTTTGCGGCTTTTGTGGTCAGCAAAACTCTTTCTGCAAAAAAAGAGAAAAAAAAATACGAGAAATAGGGCTAAAAAACGAGGCAGCAAAATCAAAGCAACAAAAAAAAAAGGAATATGAAATCAAAAATTAAGCAAGCGCCAAGCTTTTGAATTGCACTGCTCTATATAAATGCTATGCATATCTATATAAAGTCCATAGTATATACACATACATATATACATATATACACTTCTATTTGTGTGATCAAAGTGACTGCGTTTATATGGCAGCCATGCAAAATGCAATAAACATGAATTTCATAGCCGCTGCTATTAAACGAACCATGCATTTTTTTTCTGCTTCAGGGGCAGGGGATGTTGGCTAGCTTAGGGGGCGTGTCAGGCAGTGAAGCAAGAGAGAAAAAAAGCTAGAGAAAGTGAGAGACAGTTGAGCGAGCTCGACAGATAGATATCCTCGAGCCTGACTAGAGCTTAGGTTGAAGGCTCTACCAGCTGAAGCTCTAATGAAGTTTAGCAGAACATCATAATGATATAACATAATGTGTGTGAATGTCCAAATTTCAACTACTAAATACAGTAGACTCCCGATAATTCCAAATGGTAAGGGGATTCATTTCTTTCGATTTACACAGAAATTCAAACTATCGATAATAATTGAGAACCAATTTCTTTAAAGCGGATAGAATCTTGTTCGATTCATAACGATTTTCGCTTCAGCAGGCTACGAACTATCGATACTCGATTGGATATGCAGTATTTTATATAAAAGTCGATAAAAATCGAATATATTCGTACTCTATTCAGTCTAGTCCATACTTGAACTTGAAGTTCCCAACTCCAAGAGGCAATCGACTACAAATGTTGCCTAACTCAGCATGTCAAGCTAATATCGATTAGTTATTATCGTTAGTAAGATTATGTATGAACTATTAAACAGCAATATGATAAGCCTGTTAGGCAATACATATACGTATTTGAATGTAGTCTAAGCGAATGCTTGGCCAGAGTCAGCTCGCTCGTCCTACCACATCATCCTGAACAGCTTCCTATATCCTTTGTCGCTTCTGTCCCGCCTCCTGCCGCCCATTACACACAGAATTATGCCACCCATTACACGCACAGACAATAGGGTATCGAAACGCAGCTGAGTGCCGAGCTTTGTTGTCCATTTACGTCAACAATTTCATTGAAGGCAGCGCACAGAGCAGCTGCAGCAGCAGGAGTAGCAGCAATAGCTAACTGCAACTGCAGCAGCAGCAACGCCTCCTACTCCTGCTGCTGCTGCTAGCTGCCAGTTCTGCTTCTATTTGCCAAGTAGTTTCAGATAGATACATAGATAAAATTGAACTGGGATTTGGGGATTGCACAAAAGTAACTGAGCAAATTTTAGCAAGCAGCTAGTTTTGAGCTTTGAGCGCAGCACGTTGGCTAAAAACCAAGCAAATTGAATGCTGATACAGCAACAGCAACAACAACACACCAAAGACATGCAGCTGCCATTGTGTGTGCGTGTGTGTGTTTGTGTTTGTGTGTGTTAAGTGCGTTCAATTTAAAGCGCGACGCGCCATAAAACAACGTCAATGCAAGTGCAATTAAAGGCAGCACAAGAAATGCAGTTGCTGCTGCTCCTGTTTGCTGCTGCTGCTCCTGCTGCTGCTGCTGCTGCTGCTGCTGTTTGCTGCTGCTACTGCAATTTACAACAACAGGAAATTGCATGTGGCACTCGACGCTAATTCACACCGGAAAAGCAACGATGCACACAAGCTGATGTCCGCGCAAAGAGACAGACGGAGACAGAGAGAGAGACAGAGTCAGAGAGAGAGAGAGAGAACAAAGGACATCTTATTCAAGCTGGCATTGTCCATGAACTGCACGTTCACTGGGGCAAATACACTCACACACACAGCTCACACATATATCCTCTCTCTCTCTCACACACATGCATACATAAATTGCAATCTACACGCGCAACGTTTTCATTTATTAATAATGCATTTGCTCTCGTGGGGTCTACGTTTTCGCTTGGCTCCTTGGACGCCGTTTCACAAGCGCTTTCCTTTGCTTTCCCTTTTTGGTTTTCCTCTTTTTTCTGTGTGTATTTTCATTGGAGATTTGCAGCTGAGCCGCCGCTGCACCGTCGCCGCAGCCACATTCATTTGGCTGCAGCTGCAGCTGCAACTGCTTAAATCTTCATTAGTCCAGATTTCAAGTTTCAAATTAGCGCAGATTTTAGTTCGCCCCACTTTGTTCTTTTCGCACGGCGCACACGTTTCGGTGTGCGGTTTGGCCAGTGTTGACTAACGCTAATTAGCGTTGCAGCAAGGTAACTCTGCTGGCCAACCAACAGACAGAGAGCGAGAGAGAGAGAGAGAGAGAGAGAGAGCTCTAAATCACTGAGGAACAAAGCATATAAATAAATGAAAATCAAATAAAATGAATTACGTTTTATTGATTTTTTTCTCGTCGAGATTTGTTTGCTCAAATCGTTTTTGTTTATAGCATTTATTGCAAATTTATATTTAAATGCAGTCATTTATTTATATGACCAGAAAATTACATGCAAAATTCATTAGGCACTTCCGCCAGTTACACAAACAAAATGAAATGCCAAATGAAATATTTGAGCGTAATAAAATATTAAATACTTGCACTTAATATTCAAATGCATTTCTTTTGCAAATCTGATTTCTGTTAATGATGACAAACAGATATTTAAATATTAACTAAAGCAAAGCATTTGACAGCTCAACAGAACTAAGTATAATAATGAATTAAAAAATTTATAATAATAATAAATAAGTTTTAATATTTTAGTAAAGAAAATCTTTAAGTAATAAACTGCCAAGGATTCAAGACAATAGTATATTATTATAAAATGTAATAAAATTGATCTCATATTATAAAATATAGCAAAACTGTTAGTAAAATTCAATACAATTTTTATTTTAGATTAAATAATTTGAGATATATCGTGAAAAATAAAAACGATTTTTATATATGTGCCAAATTAAGATACATTAATCCTTTTTGTAACTAAATATATAATATAAATTTCCATTCATCTCACTCAACTATGATATATACATAGTTGTACTAAATTTTAGAACAATATCGATAACAGCTCAAGTAAAATAGCTCTCAAAAAATCTCAAGAGCATAACATATGAGAGATATCTATAAATGAATGTAATTTTGAATATACTATAACACTTTACTTTGTATACTGTACTCTGATTTACACTATATACACCCCTTATAATCTATGTACCCTGTCAAATATCAGCCTAAAGTTGCTTCAGTCAATTACGCGTGGAATATCGCTTGATGGAAATTGTTCGATTGCATATAGCAAAGGCAACTCGTGCTGCAGGCAAATAAATTATTTGTTTCGTGCATTTGACATTTATGCGAGCAAGAGAGCAGGAGGAGCAGTAGAAGGCGGCGAATAGAATGCAGCAAGCGCGAGCTAACCAACTGCCCACAAATAGGTGGCCAGCCACACACACACACACAAACACGCGCACACTCTGTCTCTCACACACACAGAGAATGTGTCACGGGTCACACACACAAATACAAAAAATTGAAAAGTGCGAACAAACCAAATAAATTGTACGCCCTCAAGGTGAGGCAGCTACAAAGATTTATTGTGCTCGCCGGCTTATCAATGCAAAAACAATTTTGACAGCTCTCTAAATTACAATAGTTATGCTACAATACATACACATATAGATATACTATATATATCTACCATCGGCTTTGGTTTTGCAGCTCTTTTGTTCTCTGTCAACTTAATCTGCTTGCGGCTGTTTATGCCGCTTTTCACTTTTCGCCTTGATAAACACATAATGAGAGAACAGAGCAAAAGGAATGAAAAGAAAAATATAAAAAAAAAATAGAATAAGCAACGACTATTTCACACACTGCCAAATGAATCAGAGCCGCAACTAATCCCATTTCAGTGCTCTATGATATTCTTTTCTACTGATATTTTTGGCCTGAATAATATGAGTGGATGCGATTCAATTTCATGTCAAATAATGCCCGCTGCACAAATTGTTTATTTTGCAAGCGAACGAGTGTGTCTGTGTGCGTGTGTGTGTGTGTGCGTGTGTGTGCTTGTATATTTTTTAATACTTTGCATTTCACTTTTATTTCGGTTTGTGCCAATCGATGGCATTAGTGGAAAATCAATTGAGCGATGGCAGCAATCAAAACCGTAAGCCATGAAACCAAAACCGCACATCAGTTTATATAGCAATGCGTGGGTGTCTGTCTGTGTGCGAGTGTGTGCGAGTGTGTGTGTGTGTGTGTGTGTGGGTGGCACAGCAGTCTCTGTGTGTGTTTGCCTTTCAGCTTAAATTGCCTTTGACAGCTTGAAATATACGATTTTTATTCAATCTAACAGCAGTTCGGCTCCAACACAAATTACGCATACGCCCCGCTTGACCGAGCCAAGTTTTTTCAAGCTCCATTCATCATAAATGCTGCGCCTCGCATTTTATTAGCTTGAAAAGCGAAATTAAACGCCATTACAATTAATTAATTATGCACTTTCGATTGCGGCATTGCGGCATTGCGTCCCAGGCTAATTTCAATCTTTTCGCATTTCTCATGCAATACACGGCATTTGCATTAAGCATTTGTTTTATTTACATTTCTGCTTTGTTATGCCCGCCCAGCGAGTGAGCGGGTATATTGGTTTTGCTGGAGAGTGCGTAAAGTCTTTGTATTGCTCTAAAGTATTTTGATTGTTTGAAATAACTAGAGAGTTGGTATATCGAATCTTATTAGATCGATATATACACATAGGTCTATCGATATCTTTCGTTACTTCACTATTCTTACTCAACAAGAATGCCATTGGGAGAGAAGATAGAGAATTATAGAGAGATATACATATGTGTAGTAGAGGTATATGTATTAGAAGAGTAGAGAATAGCACATTAGTTAACTATCAATGCCTGTATATCGAACTATAAGTCTATCGGATATTAACCTAATGTTATCTTTGATTGGCAGAGAATATAGAGAACTATAGATAGATATGTATATGTATAGTGTAAGAAAAAGACTTAGAAAAGCAAAGCAGATGAGTTAACAATCTACGCCTGTATATCGAACTATAAATCTATCGAATATTAACTGAATGTTATCTTAGATTGGCATTAGCAGAGAATATAGAGAATTATAGATAGATATGTATATGTATAGTGAAGAAAAAGACTTAGAAAAGCATAGCAGATGAGTTAACTATCGATGCCTGTATATGGAATTATAAATCTATCGAATATTAAGCGAATGTTACCTTTGATTACTGTTGAGTTTCTATAGAAATAGGTTCGAGCTAGAGTTATAGATCCCTCATTCAGTCCTGGTATATAGCAACCTCTATTATCATACAACTCTACTCTTATTTTCCACCATAAGCGCGCATCGCGCAGTCAGTTAAGCTCCACAACAACATTCCTAGCTCCTTACTGCTTGTTGTTGTTGTTTTTGTCGCTTTTTTATCACTTTTCTTTTTATTAGCTCGGTCGCATTTGCCTTTCAGGTAGCAGTTGCTGTTGCCGCTTTTCTTGTTGTTGTTGTTGTTGTCATGTACTAAATTACGTGCAACTATTTTTTAATGTGTAGCTCGCTTTGTTTTGTAGTATTTTTTTTTCTTTTCGGCTTTTTTTTTTTTTTTGGTGAAAATTCTCACTGCGTATCGCACAAAATTTATCACTTTCATTTGACTGGGTTCCAAAAAGGTAAATAACATTGCGCCCATAAATTGACTGGGCGACATATAGAAAAGGAAAGCTCTGTGCAACTGGGCAGACTTTTTGGCATAAAACCAACGGCCAGCCATGCTCGTTAAGAAAGGTTAATGAACTGAAATTTTGATATACAAATGAGAGAAATAGATGCGAGCAGCTGATATTATCTATAGAGCTGCGGTCAGTCATGGCAGCGATGGAAACAGACAGCAACTAGATATATGTGGAGGGTATTATATATATTAAATTGTAGACAATACTAAAAACAACTTATATATTTAAGATAATAAAGAATAAAGAACAAATTGACTTATTTCAAGCCTCAATTTCAATCTCATTAACCTCTCAAAATTATCTGTTTATAAAATTAAAATAAGGAAATATGTAATTCGTAGAAAAGCAAATAAATTGTCTAAAACTAGGAATTTCCGAATATGTCTCATATTTATAGAGTATATAATATTTCTATTATAAGTACCTAAGCTGCCTTCACACATTTCCAAGAAATTTCATCTGAGAACTGTTCCCTTGGTCAACGAAAACACAGCAAAAATCAATAAAGCATAAAGGCGCTAAAAATAACGTAAGCACATTATAATACCTCCAGCTTTTATAGTAAACTTATTAAAAATTATTTTCACGCATAATGAACTTTCATTAAGAAGCTATTAAAAATGTTCTAAAAGCAAATGAAAAATGAGAAAAAAGAATATAAAAAATTTCAACAAAATAAAACAAATAAAAAATAAATATAAAAAACTAGTATTTAGTTTTATCTAGAGTCAGTTTTCACAGCAGGCTGTTAATATGGTTTATGGCATATTAATATAAAATGCAAAACACGTTTTGCGAAAACCAGAACAGAACATGATATGTATGTAAATATAATATTACATATATATAAATATACATATATATATATAGTATGTGTGTGTGTAGAGTTTTAAGCCCTAACAAAACTAAACATGTTATACGCGCACTTAACATTAATTTCACTTTCTTTTACGAACACACACACATACACGCTTAATAGCAACAGAAGAAAGGCAGCGAAAGAAGATATAGACACACATACACATATATAGATATAGATATATATGAGTGTGTATAAACACGCTTGATATCAACATAATTAGTCACGTAGTTGTTATGTTTGTTTTAATGTGACGACCAAGGCGTTCATAATGCGGCATAAACATTATGTGAGTCGCAGTAGCAGCAGCAGCAGCAACAGCAGTAGAAGAAGAAGCAGCAGCTGCTGCAGATGCGTAAAGCATCAAGCTGAGACTACAATGAAATAAATAAACTAGTGAGATTACTTTAAGCTGGAGTGAATGACTAAGAGATACCCAAAAGCCGCGCTCAAAAACGGTTTGCTGTTAATAGCATAACATGGCAATGTTATTGTTAATGTTATCCCACATTAACAATAATTATCCGATTGAATAAAATGCTAAAGTCTTCTCATACAGAATCTGTTATAAAATGCATACTAATATAAGCAGGAGTAGACTACCATTCCGTAAGTGTCCTAAGGAGAATAATAGCGTGAGCAAAAAATAAGGAATACAAGAATGATATCTAACAAAAGTAATTTTTAAACGGATTTACTAGACTTTATGAGGCCTTAAGGCAGTAAGTAGACTTACTCAACGCAGCAAATAAGAAAAATGAATATTTCTTAGAATTTGTAGTTAACTCTATATAGCTCTTTGAGTGTGTTTGCTATTCTACATAAGCTGAAGTTCTATAATAATGTTTTTGTAATGAATTTCATAAAACTATTTAAAAACTATCAATGATAATCATCAAACTTCAGCAAGCCCTTCTCTAGAAGATATATACAAAATCTATCATACATAATACATAATAATCTATCTAGTTTCTAGTCTAGGTCCAGTCAAAGATCTCTAAATTCTTAGATATTCAGGTAAGTTCTAAAAACACTCTTGGTAATCTATTAATTTTGGAAATATAACTAACTTGAGCTGCGTTTTCTATAGGTAAAACTATTTGTTCAAGACATCAGTTCTCCGACATTCGTTAGCTTCAAGTCCAATTTCAAAGATGAACTAGTTCACCATATATATTTAGGCAGACAAAGGCATAATCTAGCTTAATTCGTCTCAGTAATCTGCTATGACTCCTGCTCTTCCCACCATTATAGACCCACACACAACTCCCCATTGTTTACAGAGTACAGGGTATATGCAAAAACTAATTGCTTAAATGTTATAAAACAAATAAATTAGCCATAAAGATGTTTTCCAGCTATAAATAGACAAGAGCCAGAGAAATGTGTCTGCTGCTGTCGAAGCTGCAAAAGAAAACCAAAAGTTGGCAACAAATAGCAAAAACATGACGTTTTTGATTTTACTTTCGACGGCATTTAAAGTGGCCAAAAGAATGCTGAACCAGCCCAGCTCAGCGCGTCTCGCGTTGACCAACTAAATTAAATGCATTTTCATAATTCATAATTAATTTTATGACTCGACAATAATATTTGAAATTATTTGATTTTTTTTGTTGTCTTTATGGCAGTGTGCAAAAAGCAGCTTTCAGTGTTGTTAATCGCTGCGAGAGAATATTTTGCATTATTATTAACGAGTAGAGAAGAAGAAGAGGCAGACGAAAAAAATGTATTTCATTGCGTTGATTATCTTTATAATTATGCGAGACACTTTTAGAACAATGCGCGAGAGCTGTGGGAAAAAATGCGGCGCTAACTAGACAAGAAAAAACCAAATATATGTATATGAAAATATAAAAAATGAATTTATAAAATATTTAAGCCCACAACAGATTGCGATCTAGGCGCTATACAAATGTCAAGTAAAGGGGAAAAAAATTAAAATGTAAAAAGATTTATGCAGTCGCATAGCCACAGAACTTTCACAGCAGCTGTGAGTGAGGCAGACAGAGAGAGAGAGAGAGAGAAAGAGAGAGGGGGGCAGAGAGAGGTCTGCTACGTGAGACGCATGCGCATGCGTCTGGTGCCCTAACAATTGCTCAAGTCAACGGCGCATCTTTTGCCGCTTTATGCCGAAAGTAAAATTAACTGCATTTCGCTACAGCAAGGCGTCGGAACTCTGTGTGGGCGTGGCATTGCTGACTGTTGCTTTGTTGGCTTTGCATGCGCATGACAACGCGACTCGACGCGACTCGGGCACGTAATTTGTGTCGCTTGAAGCCAAAAGGCAAGCAGCAACGGAACTTGAACTATCCAACAGAAAACAACAACAAAATCAAAAGCGAATGTTAGTTATGAATATGAGTTCCAGTCTGTATGTATGTGTGTGTGTGTGTGTGTGTGTGCGAGAACTACTACTGCTGACCTTGCGCTAGAAACATGTGTATTTTGTGGCTGGAAGTCAACAACTCATCGCACTTCGTGTTGCTTCTTCTTCACTTTACAGTTGGCGTTTTTTTTTTTAGTTTTGGGTTTTTTTTTCTTGTTGATTTCAAATGGGCGAAAGCTTGAATG